GCAAGATGACTGCGTGTTTTATAAAGCTGCAGCAGTTTTGCTGTGTTCTGTAACTTCTGTAGTCCCAGCACCGCTGCAGCAAAGATAAATGGGCAAGTGCGTTGTTAACGCAACCTTGCAGAAAATTGTTTGGGACCAAACAATCGCGGAACTGAAGGGGAATTCAACCACATTGTTGTTCCCACTGCATATGCTGCGACAAAGTGTATGCTTCCACAGCTAGACATAACGTTAGACATGGACCTCGTCTTTTATTAAGCACGATTACGTTTATTAAAACAATTACAAAAGAAGTCACTTCAGCATTGTGAAAGGTTGTATATGAATTATGAATACGGTAATAGCTTTAGCTTGGTTGCTTTGTGTTCACATTTGAACAAGTAAAGCGTTAAACTCTACGCTTTAATTATGAGATTTTCTTTCTCATCTCCCGAGTAAGCAGCCTAATAAAGAAGAATTCCTTTGCCGATCCTTCTATGCTCAAGTTGTGGCATTTAAGTTGGGAATAAATCTAAACCAACTTGGTTGACTTCAATGGGGTTTGCTGCATTGGAGTTGCACATAATTAAAGTTAACGCGACAGAAAAACCTAAACCATAGCAGTTATTTTAATCAAAGTTTGAATGTGGCACTGAGAGCTTTTAGCATTTAATTTAGAAATTGCCCTTGGCTATGCTGTGCCAGAAGGATTTGCTATTTTTAATAACAAAACAAAAATACACTCCTGTCAGAGGAGTAGGTTTACTTTTAGTCACTTGGCGGTACTAGCCACTATAAACACTGAAGAGAACATAACTTGTTTAATTATTTGGGGCAGCTTTTTATCCTTAAAAATATCCCTGTGTGTCGTTGTGTGTATGAAATGACTTTATTGTTCTCTGGTGGATCCTGATGCTTACAGTTGGCCAACTGTGAATCAAACATTTGAGTTTCTTAGAGGTGCATGCTTTTTCTGGTAGATTTAGAGTTTTGGAACCTATACGAGCATTCAAGTGTCAAAATTCTGACACAATCACCTGGGCTTTTCTGAGGCAGGATTCATGTTTGCAAGAATCTCCTTGATCTTGTATGCAATGGGATTCTTAATGTTTTTCAAATTCAAATGAATGAGCAGGCAATCGTCTGAGAGGTGCAGACATTTAGGGTGTGTCACCACGGCACCTGAATTACTGAAGGCTGATAGAAGTCTCAGCAGAAGAAGATACTGTCTGTGATCAATGTCTTCTGTTCAAGCTTCTTAGAGAAACTTTGAGATTTACATAGGAGGCAAGCTTACAGCAAATGAAAACACTGAGCACGAGGTTACTAAAGTTTGTTTTCACCGATTCAGGGAATGTTGAAGAATAAAGCAGCTTCTAAAATGAAGTTCTGATAATAATTTCACAGCTTCTTTTGTTCTGTTAGTTCTGTGTTTGTCTTCAGGACATAATTCTTTTGCTAACTGAGAAGTTAAGCATGAAAAAAATACAAGCTCTGTAAATCATTACCTAAATACAGGAGGCTTATTAGTTTCCAGTTCCTTGAGAATATAATTGCCTTGAATCTAGTATTTTTGCTTGCTTC